CGGAGATCTATCTAAAACAAAGTTGATCATTATAGAGTCCCTTCATTATAATGTCAAAACTAGAGTTGATACCCTGTGTTATATCGCTGGTTCCTTTGTTGTATAATCAAACCTTTATCATAGTTTCTTACATACGATGCTTTCAATCAGGATTACGATCTTGTTTGTAAAACTATATTTTCGAGAAATTATTGGTGTATAAATGTACTCCGTATAGCCTTTGATCAATCACTTACAGCCTCTCTTACAGGGTACCGAGAGTCGTGTGACAGGTTAGGTTCTCATTACAGCCTCTCTTACAGAGTACCGAAAGTCGTGTGACATGTTAGGTTCTCATTACAGCCTCTCTTACAGAGTACCGAGAGTCGTGTGACAGGTTAGGTTCTCATTACAGCCTCTCTTCCAGGGTACCGAGAGTCGTGTGACAGGTTAGGTTCTCATTACAGCCTGTCTTACAGAGTACCGAGAGTCATGTGACAGGTTAGGTTCTCATTACAGCCTCTCTTACAGGGTACCGAGAGTCGTGTGACAGGTTAGGTTATCATCACAGTTAGGTTCTCATTACAGCAACTCTTACAGAGTACCGAGAGTCGTGTGACAGGTTAGGTTATCATTACAGCCTCTCTTACAGAGTACCGAGAGTCGTGTGACAGGTTAGGTTATCATCACAGTCTCTCTTAAAGAGTACCGAGAGTCGTGTGACAGGTTAGGTTCTCATTACAGCCTCTCTTACAGAGTACCGAGAGTCGTGTGACAAGTTAGGTTCTCATTACAGCCTCTCTTACAGAGTACCGAGAGTCATGTGACAGGTTAGGTTCTCATTACAGCCTCTCTTACAGAGTACCGAGAGTCGTGTGACAGGTTAGGTTATCATCACAGCCTCTCTTACAGAGTACCGAGAGTCGTGTGACAGGTTAGGTTATCATTACAGCCTCTCTTACAGAGTACCGAGAGTCGTGTGACAGGTTAGGTTCTCATTACAGCCTCTCTTACAGAGTACCGAGAGTCGTGTGACAAGTTAGGTTCTCATTACAGCCTCTCTTACAGAGTACCGAGAGTCGTGTGACAGGTTAGGTTCTCATTACAGCCTCTCTTACAGAGTACCGAGAGTCGTGTGACAGGTTAGGTTCTCATTACAGCCTCTCTTACAGAGTACCGAGAGTCGTGTGACAGGTTAGGTTATCATTACAGCCTCTCTTACAGAGTACCGAGAGTCGTGTGACAGGTTAGGTTCTCATTACAGCCTCTCTTACAGAGTACCTAGAGTCGTGTGACAGGTTAGGTTCTCATTACAGCCTCTCTTACAGAGTACCGAGAGTCGTGTGACAGGTTAGGTTCTCATTACAGCAACTCTTACAGAGTACCGAGAGTCGTGTGACAGGTTAGGTTATCATCACAGTCTCTCTTACAGAGTACCAAGAGTCGTGTGACAGGTTAGGTTTTCATCACAGTCTCTCTTACAGAGTACCGAGAGTCGTGTGACAGGTTAGGTTCTCATTACAGCCTCTCTTACAGAGTACCAAGAGTCGTGTGACAGGTTAGGTTTTCATCACAGTCTCTCTTACAGAGTACCGAGAGTCGTGTGACAGGTTAGGTTCTCATTACAGCCTCTCTTACAGAGTACCGAGAGTCGTGTGACAGGTTAGGTTCTCATTACAGCCTCTCTTACAGAGTACCGAGAGTCGTGTGACAGGTTAGGTTCTCATTACAGCCTCTCTTACAGAGTACCGAGAGTCGTGTGACAGGTTAGGTTATCATCACAGTCTCTCTTAAAGAGTACCGAGAGTCGTGTGACAAGTTAGGTTCTCATTACAGTCTCTCTTACAGAGTACCGAGAGTCGTGTGACAGGTTAGGTTTCTTAGGTTTTCATCTCTCTCTTACAGAGTACCGAGAGTCGTGTGACAAGTTAGGTTCTCATTACAGTCTCTCTTACAGAGTACCGAGAGTCGTGTGACAGGTTAGGTTTTCATCACAGTCTCTCTTACAGAGTACCAAGAGTCGTGTGACAGGTTAGGTTTTCATCACAGTCTCTCTTACAGAGTACCGAGAGTCGTGTGACAGGTTAGGTTCTCATTACAGCCTCTCTTACAGAGTACCAAGAGTCGTGTGACAGGTTAGGTTCTCATTACAGCAACTCTTACAGAGTACCGAGAGTCGTGTGACAGGTTAGAGGTGTATAACACGAACTTTGTGTGTTTAGAGTATTTTGCATACATGTAGATTATGCAGTTAGGTATTGTGATGAAGGTAACAAGGTAACCATTGAAATATCACGCTTGAATCGCCTTCTGGTTGTGTTATATGACGTTTTATTTTTTAATTAGAGTTAGCTTTGATATAACCATCTTACTAACATTGAATTTTATTTTTATTTGTAGTTAAAAAGTGATCTGTAATTACTCGTAAAGAAGTTAATAACAAACAGAAGAAATTTTGTTGAGACAAGACACATACGAGTATTATAGTTTCCCTTCCAAAAGTAGTGTGATTACTATATAACCCCTTACGTAAGGCGGGTTGGGGTGGGATATCCTAATGCTGTGAAGAAGGGCAGATTTGTTTACTGAATTTCTCATGGAGCCATAATCTTATACCTGATGTTTTATGTTCCTCTCAGTAGAGTATATACTATTAATTAGGAGGAGTGATTCACTAAAACTTGCACATCAAATACAAAAGACACATCAATGTTTAATGGTTTGTAAAATGATGTAATTAACAAACGCGGGTGCACATATAACAATTAAATGTACAGAATATTTCGGTGCTAAGGTAGCAAAAATGTCGTCACGGCATCAAAAAAAACCGAGATAACAGAACGCTGTTGATATTGCTGAGTGATTGGTAGATATTTATCGTGTTTCCCCTGATAAAGATACTTAGATAGTCGAACGAAGTTTTATTGGTTAAATTTGTGTTAAAAATATCAATATGCTTAGATAGGCGCTTTTGGGAGGTTTTATTGAGTAGGTGTTTAAAATCACACCTATGTTGCTTTTATCCTGCAAATCAGAAATAGGATAAAACACAGGCATTACAATATATAAACAAAAGCAGTATGATGTATGTTCTGGTTGTTTACACTACAGTATGATGTATGTTCTGGTTGTTTACACTACAGTATGATGTATGTTCTGGTTGTTTACACTACAGTATGATGTATGTTCTGGTTGTTTACACTTTAGTATGATGTATGTTCTGGTTGTTTACACTTCTGTATGATGTATGTTCTGGTTGTTTACACTTCTGTATGATGTATGTTCTGGTTGTTTACACTACAGTATGATGTATGTTCTGGTTGTGTACACTACAGTATGATGTATGTTCTGGTTGTTTACACTTCTGTATGATGTATGTTCTGGTTGTTTACACTTCTGTATGATGTATGTTCTGGTTGTTTACACTTCTGTATGATGTATGTTCTGGTTGTTTACACTACAGTATGATGTATGTTCTGGTTGTTTACACTTCTGTATGATGTATGTTCTGGTTGTTTACACTACAGTATGATGTATGTTCTGGTTGTTTACACTTCTGTATGATGTATGTTCTGGTTGTTTACACTACAGTATGATATATGTTCTGGTTGTTTACACTTCTGTATGATGTATGTTCTGGTTGTTTACACTACAGTATGATGTATGTTCTGGTTGTTTACACTACAGTATGAGGTATGTTCTGGTTGTTTACACTTCTGTATGATGTATGTTCTGGTTGTTTACACTACAGTATGATGTATGTTCTGGTTGTTTACACTAAAGTATGATGTATGTTCTGGTTGTTAACACTTCTGTATGATGTATGTTCTGGTTGTTTACACTACAGTATGATGTATGTTCTGGTTGTTTACACTTCTGTATGATGTATGTTCTGGTTGTTTACACTTCTGTATGATGTATGTTCTGGTTGTTTACACTACAGTATGATGTATGTTCTGGTTGTTTACACTTCTGTATGATGTATGTTCTGGTTGTTTACACTACAGTATGATGTATGTTCTGGTTGTTTACACTTCTGTATGATGTATGTTCTGGTTGTTTACACTTCTGTATGATGTATGTTCTGGTTGTTTACACTTCTGTATGATGTATGTTCTGGTTGTTTACACTTCTGTATGATGTATGTTCTGGTTGTTTATGTATGTTCTGGTTGTTTACACTTCTGTATGATGTATGTTCTGGTTGTTTACAGTATGATGTATGTTCTGGTTGTTTACACTTCTGTATGATGTATGTTCTGGTTGTTTACACTACAGTATGATGTATGTTCTGGTTGTTTACACTACAGTATGATGTATGTTCTGGTTGTTTACACTACAGTATGATGTATGTTCTGGTTGTTTACACTTCTGTATGATGTATGTTCTGGTTGTTTACACTACAGTATGATGTATGTTCTGGTTGTTTACACTTCTGTATGATGTATGTTCTGGTTGTTTACACTACAGTATGATGTATGTTCTGGTTGTTTACACTACAGTATGATGTATGTTCTGGTTGTTTACACTTCTGTATAAGCCGAATTAATTATCTTTATGTGTTCAATGCATATGATAATCGTGCAAGAGTTTTCCACACCAAGTACCGTAGTGTCATTTTTTCTTTTTCGCTTGTAAGAAGCTATTGTCATATGAGTGACGTCACACTGACTTTCCTCTACAGTATCGTAAAGAGTAGACTTTTCCCTCCAAATTGATTTAAAAAAAATATATAAATTTTAAAAAAAAATAGGTTATTGATTGCATAATATGATTTTGCGTTTATTTTGTGTTGAGCATATTTACTAAAGTGAATGTTTCCATTACAGTGTTTTCACACATGTATGTACATTGTATGTTTGATATCAATATGTTTATAAAGGCTATTGCTTGTTGATATACTGTACGTCATAAAGAAAATAACATTGATTTATCTTTCCGGACCAGATATTTTGTTATGTCTCTGCTGACGAGACGAGTTCTGAAGATCATGCCTACCTTGAATTGACTACACCCAGCGTGATGACGTCAGACGATGATATCAACACAGCCAGCGTAACGTCAGACGATGATATCAACACAGCCAGCGTAACGTCAGAGGATGATATCAACACAGCCAGCGTGACGTCAGACGATGATATCAACACAGCCAGCATGATGACTACAGACAATGATACAGACACTGCTAGCATGATGACTACAGACGACGATATCAACACAGCCAGCATGATGACTACAGACGACGATATCAACACAGCCAGCATGATGACTACAGACGACGATATCAACACAGCCAGCATGATGACTACAGACGATGATACAGACACTGCTAGCATGATGACTACAAACGACGATATCAACACAGCCAGCATGATGACTACAGACGATGATACAGACACTGCTAGCATGGTGATGTTAGACGATGATACAAACACAGCCAACATGATGACTACAGACGATGATACAGACACTGCTAGCATGGTGATGTTAGACGATGATACAAACACAGCCAAAATGACATCAGACAGCGATCCAACTACAGAAGGTCAACCTATGACAGTAGAATCTGCAAGTACAATACCGACTACCAGTACAACTTCCACAACGGTACCTTCTACCACAGCGGCTCGTAAGTTGTCACTTTAAACTTTGTCAATATATCATATCTCTTTGTTTATAACACAAAAGTTGTGTTATTCATAGTTATTTCATTTCCTAAAAACTTGTATTCTTATCTGTGGGATACGCTTAGTCATCAATAGTTAGCGAGCTTATCAAACCATTGGTCAGTCAAAGTCTCGGTCGGTCATTCAATCAGTCTCTTGTCGGTCAGTGTAAAAAAGTTCTAAATTAGGGGCGAACTCCTGTGTCCGGTTTCACTTGAATTTATTCGAATTCAGATTGAAACAAAGACCCCACAATACAAAGAATAAAAAACGTAAGCACGTATATTTCCTATAGTGTTAAAACATGAATTGTACGGGGTATAAAGATATCTCTCTCATAAACCATTGAAATGAATCAGTCTGATCTTATGGTGATCATGGTGACTCTGCTCATAATATACAAATAGACAGATACAATATTAAATGTACAATTTAAACCAATTTCACATATATGAATCTTATTGATACACTAACTACCTACCCTGACAATGGGTCAAGGGTCCCTATGGTCTTGTACCTATCTATTGTTCTGGACAATATATTAGAGATTTGCATGGCATACGGCCTTGAATAAAGAAACGTCCGTACTCGTGAAAAGTCAACTGTCCACTAATAACCCGCAAATGACAAACAAAGACCAACGAACGAGAACGAGACAATACCTGGACACACATGTAGATATAATGTCACATAGGTAAGCTGTACATGCGTACACATCATATATGCACGCACAAGTGATTAAGCAGACGACGCGGAAAAAAAGCGACGACGCGACGCACCAATAACGGCGGCACATAATTAATAAAAAGCGACCCTATAACATCAGTCAGTCTCTCGGTCAGTCATTCACTCTGTCTCTCGCTCAGTCAGTCTCTCGATCGGTCATTAACTCAGTCTCTCGCTCAGTCAGTCAGTCTCTTGGTCGGTCATTCACTCAGTCTCTCGCTCAGTCAGTCTCTATGTCGGTCATTCACTCAGTCTCTCGCTCAGTCAGTCAGTCTTTCGGTCGGTCATTCACTCTGTCTCTCGCTCAGTCAGTCAGTCTCTCGGTCGGTCATTCACTCTGTCTCTCGCTCAGTCAGTCAATCTCTCGGTTGGTCATTCACTTAGTCTCTCGCTCAGTCAGTCAGTCTCTCGGTCAGTCATTCACTCTGTCTCTCGCTCAGTCAGTCAGTCTCTCGGTCGGTCATTCACTCAGTCTCTCGCTCATTCAGTCATTCTCTCGGTCGGTTATTCACCCAGTCTCTCGCTCAATCAGTAACTCTCTCGGTCGGTCATTCACTTAGTCTCTTACTCAATCAGTCAGTCTCTCAGTCGGTCATTCACTCAGTCTATCCCTCAGTCAGTCAGTCTTTCGGTCGGTCATTCACTTTGTCTCTCGCTCAGTCATTCTCTCGGTCGGTCATTCACGCAGAATCTAATGCGTACACATCATATATGCACGCACAAGTGATTAAGCAGACGACGCGGAAAAAAAGCGACGACGCGACGCACCAATAACGGCGGCACATAATTAATAAAAAGCGACCCTATAACATCAGTCAGTCTCTCGGTCAGTCATTCACTCTGTCTCTCGCTCAGTCAGTCTCTCGATCGGTCATTAACTCAGTCTCTCGCTCAGTCAGTCTCTTGGTCGGTCATTCACTCAGTCTCTCGCTCAGTCAGTCAGTCTCTCGGTCGGTCATTCACTCTGTCTCTCGCTCAGTCAGTCAGTCTCTCGGTCGGTCATTCACTCTGTCTCTCGCTCAGTCAGTCAATCTCTCGGTTGGTCATTCACTTAGTCTCTCGCTCAGTCAGTCAGTCTTTCGGTTGGTAATTCACTCTGTCTCTCGCTCAGTCAGTCAGTCTCTCGGTCGGTCATTCACTCTGTCTCTCGCTCAGTCAGTCAGTCTCTCGGTCGGTCATTCACTCAGTCTCTCGCTCATTCAGTCATTCTCTCGGTCGGTTATTCACCCAGTCTCTCGCTCAATCAGTAACTCTCTCGGTCGGTCATTCACTTAGTCTCTTACTCAATCAGTCAGTCTCTCAGTCGGTCATTCACTCAGTCTATCCCTCAGTCAGTCAGTCTTTCGGTCGGTCATTCACTTTGACTCTCGCTCAGTCATTCTCTCGGTCGGTCATTCACGCAGAATCTAAGTGTGTCAGTCATTCTCTCGGTCGGTCATTCACGCAGACTCTAAGTGAGTCATTCTGTCAGCCTCTTGATCTGTCAGTCGCTTGGTCAGTCAGTCAATCAGTCTCTTGGTCAGTCAGTAAGTCTCTCGGTCGGTTATTCACCCAATCTCTCGCTCAGTCAGTAAGTCTCTCGGTCGGTCATTCAGTCAGTTTCTTGGTCAGTCAGTCAGACTCTCGGTCGGTCAATCACTCAGTCTCTCGCTCAGTCATTCAGTCTCTCGGTCGGTCATTCAGTCAGTGTTTTGGTCAGTCAGTAAGTCTCTCGGTCAGTCATTCACTTAGTCTCTTGCTCAATCAGTCAGTCTCTCGGTCAGTCATTCACGCAGTCTCTTGGTCGGTCAGTCTCTCGATCGGTCATTCACGCAGTCTCATAATGAGTCATGCTGTCAGCCTCTTGATCACTCAGTCTCTTGATCAGTCAGTCAGTCTCTCGGTCACTCATTCACGCAGTCTCTCGGTCAGTCAGTCAGTCTCTCGGTCACTCATTCACGCAGTCTCATAGTGAGTCATTCTCTCAGCCTCTTGATCAGTCAGTCTCTTGATCAGTCAGTCAGTCTTTTGGTCACTAAGTCTCTCGGTCGGTCAATCAATTAGTCTCTTACTCAATCAGTCAATCTCTCAGTCAGTCATTAACTCAGTCTCTTGGTCATTCAATCAGTCTTTCGGTCGGTCATTCACTCTGTCTCTCGCTCAGTCATTCTCTCGGTCGGTCATTCACGCAGACTCTAAGTGAGTCATTCTGTCAGCCTCTTGATCTGTCAGTCGCTTGGTCAGTCAGTCAATCAGTCTCTTGGTCAGTCAGTAAGTCTCTCGGTCAGTCATTCAGTCAGTCTCTCGCTCAGTCAGTCATTCTCTCGGTCGGTTATTCACCCAGTCTCTCGCTCAGTCAGTAAGTCTCTCGGTCGGTCATTCACTCAGTCTCTCGCTCAGTCAGTCATTCTCTCGGTCGGTTATTCACCCAGTCTCTCGCTCAGTCAGTAAGTCTCTCGGTCGGTCATTCACTCAATCTCTTGCTCAGTCAGTCAGTCTCTCGGTCGGTCATTCAGTCAGTCATTCAGTCAGCCTCTTGTCAGTCATGTAGTTACCATGACAAACTGTACAGGTATTTGACATCTTGTTTATATGTTTATGTAGTTACCATGACAAACTGTACAGGTATTTGACATCTTGTATATATCAGTCTACCATGACAAACTGTACAGGTATTTGACATCTTGTTTATATGTTTATGTAGTTACCATGACAAACTGTACAGGTATTTGACATCTTGTTTAGATGTTTATGTAGTTACCATGACAAACTGTACAGGTATTTGACATCTTGTATAGATGTTTATGTAGTTACCATGACAAACTGTACAGGTATTTGACATCTTGTATATGTTTATGTAGTTACCATGACAAACTGACAGGTTTTGACATCTTGTTATATGTTTATGTAGTTACCATGACAAACTGTACAGGTATTTGACATCTATGTTGTATATGTTTATGTATGTTACCATGACAAACTGTACATATGTTTATAGTTAAACAAATCAGGTATTTGACATCTTTTATATATGTTTATGTATTTACCATGACAAACTGTACAGGTATTTGACATCTTGTTTATATGTTTATGTAGTTACCATGACAAACTGTACAGGTATTTGACATCTTGTATAGTATGTTTATGTTTATGTAGTTACCATGACAAACTGTACAGGTATTTGACATCTTGTATAGATGTTTATGTAGTTACCATGACAAACTGTACAGGTATTTGACATCTTGTATAGATGTTTATGTAGTTACCATGACAAACTGTACAGGTATTTGACATCTTGTAGTTACCATATATGTTTATGTAGTTACCATGACAAACTGTACAGGTATTTGACATCTTGTATAGATGTTTATGTAGTTACCATGACAAACTGTACAGGTATTTGACATCTTGTATAGATGTTTATGTAGTTACCATGACAAACTGTACAGGTATTTGACATCTTGTTATATGTTTATAGTTACCATGACAAATGTACCATGACAAACTGTACAGGTATTTGACATCTTGTATAGATGTTTATGTAGTTACCATGACAAACTGTACAGGTATTTGACATCTTGTATAGATGTTTATGTAGTTACCATGACAAACTGTACAGTATAGATGTAGTTTGACAAACTGTATCTTGTATAGATGTTTATGTAGTTACCATGACAAACTGTATCTTGTTTATATGTTTATGTAGTTACCATTTGTTTATAGATGTTTATGTAGTTACCACGACAAACTGTACAGGTATTTGACATCTTGTTTATATGTTTATGTAGTTACCATGACAAACTGTACAGGTATTTGACATCTTGTATATATGTTTATGTAGTTACCACGACAAACTGTACAGGTATTTGACATCTTGTATATATGTTTATGTAGTTACCATGACAAACTGTACAGGTATTTGACATCTTGTATATATGTTTATGTAGTTACAATGACAAACTGTACAGGTAAATTACAACTTGTATATATGTTTATGTAGTTACCATGACAAACTGTACAGGTATTTGACATCTTGTATATATGTTTATGTAGTTACCATGACAAACTGTACAGGTATGTAGATGTTTATGTAGTTACCATGACAAACTGTACAGGTATTTGACATCTTGTTTATATGTTTATGTAGTTACCATGACAAACTGTACAGGTATTTGACATCTTGTTTATATGTTTATGTAGTTACCATGACAAACTGTACAGGTATTTGACATCTTGTATATATGTTTATGTAGTTACCATGACAAACTGTACAGG